AATGGAGTGCTGAATAGGAGTGTGTGAACTGAAAAAGAAAATTGGTGCAACAAAGATGGAGTAGGAAGGACATATTGGAAGGGATTCTTAAATTGACTATATTTAGTGTAGCTGTGGCATGGCTAATCTCTCTTTTGTTAATAGCAAGCAATATAAAAATAGATGGACTTTCCAGAGCATCAGTAATGTTTTATGGCTCAGATGCAGTATGCAAACATGCCTTTGTATCCATTTATGTGTGGAAGATTCAGGCTACCAGTGAAAATCATCACGATAGAGCTTGAAGCAGCATGGTTGAGCTATGAAAAATGGTTCTTGGCACTTGGAAAAATGTAAATGCACTTGGAAAAAGAAGCATATTCTTGTTCTGGACAGAAGTGTAGCAGATCTAATTCTCTTAAAATTAGTGTATATACTTATTATTCTAATACTGACTGGCTAAATTTGACTGAAACTGGTATGGAGAGATTTTCCATAATGTATAATTTCTCCTTATTTGCGTGGATGATATGTGCCATGATGAAACATTCATAAAGCATTTAAAATGTGAAGTAGAAATGTAAAATAGTTAAACAACTTATCAGTAGTTTATACTCCTTCTTTTTTTAATGTGCTGAAACCAGTAGTGGGTTTGTGTATATCATCTGCTTCTTTAATCCCCATCTAGGCAGATGACTGCCTTAATCTGAGGTATTTTCTGACACCAGAGATACTTTCAATCTCTTTCAATGCTCCATCGGCATAGAAGTATCTGTGGATGCAGAATCAAGAATGTTCTGCAACACCCAAAGACTTCAAACCAGAAAACACATATTTGTACCAGGTGGAATATTTTGTTCTGAGAAGCTGTAAATCCTTCTTGTTTGCAAAAAATGTAACTAAGAGAAATATAATATATTTATTGGGAAAATGTTTGTCCCAAGCAGTTTTTCACTTGTTAAAAAGACATCTGCCCTTGCACTTTGCTACTCTGCTGCTGAGTATGCATGCCCAGTGTGGAACCCATCTCACCATACTAAAACAGTGGATGTGCCTCTTAATGAGTCAGGCTGCATTATTACAGGATGTCTGAGCCCTACACCACTGGAGAAATTACACTGTTTAGCCAGAATTGCACCACCTGAAATCCACTTGGAAATAGCAGCCAATAATGAAAGGACCAAGGCATTGATATCCCTGGCCCATCCCCTGATCTGATATCAGCCAGTATACCAACGCCTTAAATCAAGAAATAGTTTAGAAATAGTTAGATCTACAGAGATACTCACAGGAACACTTCAGTAAGTGACAGTCTAAAAATGGCAGGTTAAAACCTGAAATCCCAATCCATGGCTGATACCAAATGAGAGACTCCCTCCTGGACACACAGAAGACTGGGCAACTTGGAAGGCACTGAACAGACTGCGCTCTGGCACCACGAGGTGCAGAGCCAACCTTAAGAAATGGGGCTACAAAGTGGAGTCCATGACATGAGAGTGTGGAGAAGAGCAAGCCATGCACCACCTATTACAATGCAGCCTGAGCCCTGCCACATGCACCATGGAGGACCTTCTTATAGCAACACCAGAGGCACTCAAAGTGGCCAGCTACTGGTCAAAGGACATTTACAATAGGATACCAATTTTTTTTAACTTTGTTTTCTCTCAGCTACATCACAACTGTAGCCTTGGTTCACTCCTGATACGATAAATAAAAATTTTAAAACCTGTTAAAATAAAACATCAGGATGCTGCTTACAACTCTTCCAGCAAAAGTATCATCAAAAGTTTAGGTAATTTTTTGTTTGTTTGATGAGTTCTTCAACAAAATATGATTCCTGGGGACTAAAATATTTTTTTCTGTCTAGATGAGAGTTAAAAGACTTTAGACTGTGCTTTAAAACAAACTGCTTTGCAACCTTTCCCGACTAGGGCTCTACATAAGGTCGCTTTGAGTTCACATCAAACTGATTGAAAAGAAATGAACATTTTTGAGCTGTAACAATATTTTTTATGTAAGGGTTCCCTGAGACCTGAAAATTATTTCAAGGATTCCTTCAGGGTAAAAAAAAAAGAGAGAGAGAGAGAGAGAGAAGTTGCTCTAGATGCAACACATCATTTGTGTTGGGACTTTTTAGAGCTATCATAGAGAGAAGCATTCAAATAAATATTTCTCGTTGTTCTCTGTTGAATACCAGTTTTATACTTAGATTCCTGCCCTCTCTTTTTGTTAGTATTCTGTGTCCCCGTGTTGTACTAGACACACATTGTTTTGGTTCTTGTAGCGATCTTGAAAGCTTATCCCGTGAGAGGCATCTCTTTTGTAGTTCTCTGAATTGGATGAATCCATGTTTGCTTGGCTGCTAATAGGATACAGCTTCACAGCTGAATGTCTTACACCTGTAAAGGCTTGTTGCACCAGCACTCTTGTCTTTGACAGGATTGCCTCCTGGCAGCTGGAAGGATTCAGAGCTTGGTTTGTCTAATAGATCTGTAAAATGTGAGGATTGTGTGAAATTCTCCTTTCGTGAAGAGGCACAGAGCAAAGCATGATGGTTTGCAAGAAGCTGTCTACAACATACAAGTCAGTGTTTGCTGCTGTTCTGTAGAATTGGCATCAGAAAGTGTCTTGAAAATGAGATTCTCTTGGGGAGTTTGTGGATAAGTTATGGACAACCATCTCATTGCCACAAGGAGGTACAGCTTTTTATTCAATTGGAAACAATGCCAGGAATTGTGTGTTTCCTGACAGATGCTGTGACACAGCAGCACTTTTGACAGAATGCTCTTGGTGAAAATGAGTTTATTTATTGTGCCTCTGTGTGTCTTGTTTGTTTCTTGCTTTCCCCAACATTCTTAGTTTTGTCTTGGCTGCAGCAGCTTTATTGCTGCCTTGCGCCTTATTGAGCCCCCATCACTTGGGCATGGCCAGAGCCTGTATTATCCTGGCAAGGAGTTTCAGCTCTAATTTCTGTGCCAGTAGGATTTGAGCAGGGTCATCTTGCTGCCTTCACTCATGGCTGAATTTAAGACAGGGAGGGAGGAATTGAGCTAGAAAGGAAGCCTCTGGGAGATGAAATTAGGGCTGGGGGAGCAGCTGCTTGTCCATCGTTGCCTTCAGGGCATGTCCTGCTGCAAATAATATGAATTTGACTTTGCCTGAAGTAGTCTTCCAGCTAATCAGGGGCACAGTTCACATATAGGACACTCAGGGAAAATGCCTAACTGCCCAGTAATTAAATACTCACTCCATCCATTGCTTTCGCTTTTTCCCAAGAGCCATCTCTTGCCATCTGTCCAAGAGGACAGTCGGATATCTTTCCCTTAATTATTCATGGAGGTTCCTTTTATGAAGCCTCTGGTGGTTCAGATGCAACTGGGGATTGATGCCTCACAGGCCTGACTTTTGAGCTCCCCCAGGCCTGTCACAAGGTGAAGGCGGTGTGATTCCCATCTTCTTATTCATCCAAAACACTGGCTTTCATTGTGCCAGCAGTTTCAGCTTAACTTAGGCCCTTGACGATTTTTTCCTTCTCCTTAAATTGTTCACAGCTGGAATCCTGGCCTCCAGCTTGTTTCCAGTGGTTCAAGGGGGCAGTGGAACTGAACTGGACAACTGTTTCTATGTGGAGAGTCTATTTTTGTGTCTTTCTAGTGATTAGTTAGTTGCCATAGTAATAATAGCAACACCACTTAGCATGATGACATTCCCATTTGAATGTCTGGGAACTTGTTTAAAACTTAAAGAGTAGCTGAGAGCAAGCATGTCCCTGCTTCCAAACATAGCTCTGACCCTGTTCTCCCATCTCGCCCCATTTTGGTTTTGCCAAATGAAAAGTTTCTTGTAATTGGCAAGTCTGAAAAGGCAAATCAGAGCCATTTTTGCCTGATAGGTTTTCTTCTACACAAACTAGCTTGTTGAAGAAAGCATGAAAAGTAAAGTAGATTTGCTTTTGTTTCCTGTGTATTCTTGTCCTTAATCCTCGAGGAAGTGGGCATACTGAATTAGTTCCTGTTGGTTACTTCCTGAAGTACATCTTTAGTCTTATTAAAAATGACAGAACACAAATCCACTAATGAGACTTTATTTCAAATTCAGTAAGTCAACCTATAAATATATGCATACTTTCTCCTATAAATGAAGCAAGTTGTGTGTTGATATGCTTCTACCGTTTCTATAGCTGCCCATTTACAAGTTCAACCTTTTGGAACAGTTAAAGGTGACAAAAATCAGTGTGGCCCAATTATGTTGTCATTTCCATATTCTGAATAAGAGGGGGAAAGGGAGGGAAGCTGTGCTTTTCTCAGGGCACACTCTTTTTGGCCATATCTGCTTGTGTATGTATTCGGTATCTTTGAATGATATATGACCATATCTGGCATATTACTACTACTGCTTCTAACAAATGATAAAAAGTGTAGAGTTGTTTCTGTCTGCATTCCTTAGAAAGTATTGTTTTAACAAAACAAGCAATTCTGAGCACCGTATGGCAAGAATCCAGCTCAAGGTGACTTTCAAAGGAATCCAGTTTATATATAAACCATTTAACTGTGACTTTGCTCTTGGCTATTTCTAAAATTATCTATACTATCTGAACTCCTTTCCCAAGGCATAAACCATGGATACAGGTGTGAATGTTTATTTAATAGATTGGCATATAGTACCTGCTTAATGAAGTATGTGTATAGCTCTATTTAATTCAGAAGGGACATACACACACACCCTTCCAAATGAGCAGTAGGAGATAGATGCTGATTCCCCTCTCCAAAAAACCCCAGTGCTAATCAAAATTAGTGATCTCTGGAGTCTTGAGACATTGGCTGCCGGCCCCTGGTGAATTTCCAGGAAAGAAGAAAATAACAATTTTAATTGATGGTCGTGAATATGATGCTGGCCCTTAGCATACTGGAAAATAATAATTGCCACTCTTCTATCTCAGCCTGAAAAGTACTGTTCCAAACTACAAAAACCCTCCCTTTTATCACAGAAAGAAAGGTACAGCATTTTGCTCCTCTTCGCAGGTGATGTTGTGGATATCTATCAGCGAGAGTTCCTCGCACTGAGAGACCGCTTGCATGCTGCAGAACAGGAGAGCCTCAAGCGGTCCAAGGAGCTGAACCTCGTCCTAGATGAAATAAAGCGAGCTATCTCTGAGAAACAAGCCCTGCGGGATATAAACCGGACATGGAGCAGCTTATCTGGTAAATCAGGTTTTAATGAGGATGAGCCTCACAGATGCGTGGAAGCACTGGAGAAATGTGTGAGTGCATCTCCAAAGAGCATCAGATAAAAATTCATTCATTATGTATATCTCAGGTGGGTTTACCAGAGAGAGCAGGGCAGTGGAGGTACTTTTGAATCTGTGAAATTACTACTTGTAGAAAGATAGTGTTGGAGGTATTAGACATCTCCTTTCGGGTGTCACACAGTTGTCATGGATGTGATGTGAACACGATGAAAAAGGTTCCCTAATCCATGGAAAATATTTCATAATCTTGAATGTGACAGCTGCTGTTGCACAGTATGTGAAAAACCTAATACAGATCCCAACCCGATGTGCTTAGTCTTCAGCAAGCACACTTTTGGCTGATTTTCTGCCCTCAGTGCTTATCAATGCACAGCCACTTGCCTTGCATTTCTTAGTCCCTCTGTTGCTCCAGCTTCAACTTGCATTTCTTTTGTTATGTTTTCTGGAGGGCTCTCTCTCTCTCCTTCTCTTTGTAGCCACCTTATTCTTGTAGGTCAGAGGTTGGGAACACATGATCCCCAGGCAGCATGTTGGCCCCTTCCTATTTTTGCAGACCTGGAACCATCCTCTGGAAAAGAAAGCTCCAAAATGAAAGAATGCCCTCTCCAGAAGTCTCCCAGAGTAGCAATTCTCCATTACAACAAGGAGCAGATCCCTCAGTATCTTATGAAACCCAAAGTGGGTGGTCTGTAAATGCTGCTCACTTTTACCTGATACTACAGTCCATGCTGGGAGCAAAAAACTGCAGAGAAAAGTCTGCTATATTAGTGCCCCCTGGTGATAATGACATAGAAAGTCTGCATCTGGGGAATGTAGGAGTTAACAAAGTAGAAATGCTTGTACACATGCCTTCTTTCACAGAAACGTTGGTATTGGAGGCCAAAGTAACACAGCAAGAATAGGAACAGTTTCCTATACTACAAAAACAAACATCAGTTCATTGTGTTCCAGCAGACCTTTTCTTCAAAGCTAAACAACATGCACACATGAAATGAAACAACCAGGGCAGCTAAGCCTTGAACAAGTAAACAAAAAACAATTTGAAACTTCTAGAGCAGTGGTTCTTAATCTGAGGGTCCCCAGGTGCTTTGGTCTACAACTCCCAGAAATCCCAGCTAGGCTACCAGCTGTTAGGATTTCTGAGAGTTGAAGTCCAAAACATCTGGGGACCCACAGGTTGAGTGAGAACCACTCTTCTAGAGACTATTACAGTTGCTTCCAAAATACCTCTAAGGACAACCTTTTCTTTTACTGCCTTCCACTTTTCTTAATGTTTCTCTTTTGATGGCCAGACTTTTCAAATATATGCTTTTTTAATAAATTGGAACTAGCTGATGACCGCAAGCTTATCTGCACAGTCCTTTTCTCCATGTTGCTGTTCATATATGCTCAGTAATAAATTCTCAGGGCAACTGCTGTTTTCCTTGCCTGTTGTAGGCAGGTACACATACATATACAGCGCTGCAGTAGAAAGTTATTCTTTCCCTCCTCAAAATTTGTTGCATGGTTTACTGGAGACAAAGATAAGGTGAGAGTAGTGTATTTGTTAGAAGCCTCATTAACTGAAGTACTCCTGGAATTGCAATAGAGCAGGAAATGACCCATTTTATGATATGATTGTTCTTAATTAAAACTTTGGTTATTGCTATTATGTGCCTTTAAGTCATTTTCCATTTAGGGTAACCATAAAGTGACCCTAGCACAAGGTTTTCTTGGCAAAAAGAGGGTTTGCCTCACCACCTTTCAATATTTCAGAGAAAGGAACTGGCGTACCCAATTCTGAGTATTTCTCACCCTAGAAATTCCTATGACATTCATAGGGTAGCCATAAATTGATCATTGACTTGAAAGCACATATACATATCCTGATAAACCTGAAATTTGCATGCTAGGTATGCATTTTATTTTGCTTTTGAAATGTTTAGTTGCTGTTTCGGATATTCAGTCTCTTGAAATTGCACAGATTCAAAACATAAACCTGTTAGGGAGAAATGGGTACTTGATTTATCATAGAAGTACAGAAATTCAAGGTGCAGATTGAGATCTCTTTGCCAGAGATTTCATTTAATGTTTATTCCCTCCTCCCTGTCACTAGAGGAGGAGGAGACATGTTTATCTGTCCTGAGTCCTGAGTAATTCCTGCTGCACTTAATGGGATTAGTGGGTACAAGTGAAGAAGATTGGACTGATTAACCTAAGTTAAGTGATCATCTCAGCTGGCCAGATGGTGCAATGAGTGGGTCTGCTTGTGTCGCATCACAGCTTCTTTCTTTCCCTTACAGTCTTCTCCTTCACTCTCCTTTTTTTTCCCCTCCATCCTTCTGGCAGATGAAACAAAATTAAAATTGTGGAATATCACTAACAAGAATGTGCTGCACCTCCCCACCATTTTTCATCATTTGCCACATTTGCTGTCAAAGGAAAACAGCCTGCAGCCGGCTGTGCACGTTGGACAAGGGCGTACTGGAGGTAAGTGAGTGTTGGAGCTCGCTGCTTTCAGTCACTTCCCTTCGCTTCTTGTCTCATCCTTGTTTACACTCTCCCAGCTGTAATTGAGGTGTGAAGGCAGACAAGGATACTGCTATCAGCCAAGTTGCTTTGCTGCACAGCCATCTTAGGATAAGTAAGTCAGTTTTGATTTACAAGTTACAGCTTGTTGAGGAGGCTGCTGTTGCTCACTTCCTGTGGCAGCCATTATTATAATGAACCAGACCAACAACATGACCCGTGTGATTGGGCTCCATCTTGGTGGAGGAGTGATTTATAAGCTGCCTCCATCTGGCAGCCATATTATATAAACTGGTCCCAAGAGTGAACGCTTTATGGGACACTTAAGCATACTTACAGATGTTGCTAATGCTTTCATCGGTCCTAGTAAACAGCTTGGTTTTTCAGCTTGAAGGCTGATCAAAGCAGAAGCTCCCCATGTTTCTCAGTCTTATTTATTTGACTAACTAACTCATCCCAGAGGAAGCTCTTGGGAAGCATATGACCAGAGAGTGCCTGTGCTCCTTGTTCCTGTGTGAACTGCACCAGTCCCCCTGAGGCTCCATACTACATGGCACAGAAGGATAGTAAGAGTTGCACAAACTGAGTTAAGGATTGGGTGCGTACACACATGCACACCAGATAAACAGACTATTTCAATGAAGACATTGTCTGGGAAAACTTTATCTGCACTACATTTTAGAAGAGGCAGTGTCAAACTGTACCGAGCACAATTCACAGTGCTGGCTTTAGACTATAAAGCCCCAAATGGTTCTGGCCCAGCTTACCTGTCCAAACATATCTTCCTTTATGAACCACTTTGGAGGTTGAGATTATCAGGGGAGGCCCTGCTCTCAGTCCCACCTCCTTGGCAGGGGTGACTGGTGGGGACAAGAGATAGGACCTTCTCAGTGATGGCCTGTCATCTCTGAAATTCCCTCCCCAATGAAATTAGATCTGTGCCCCCCCCCTCTTGGCCTTCAGAAAAGCAAAAACATGGCTGTGGGACCAAGTATTTGGGCAGCAAGCAATACAAGGAACAAACAGGGATTATGTGAAATTGATATTTGATATTGGAATGGCCTTAGGCTATGATTTTTTTGAATTATGTGATTTTAATGTTTCTAACTTCATGTTTTAATGTCTAAATGTGGTTACGTTTTATGATTTAATTGATATGTTATATGTTATTGTTGTTTTATGCTAGGTTTTTACACGTTTGTGAGGCATTAAATTTTGCCGTGAATATGTTGGAAACTGCTTTGAGTTGCTCCCTCCCCAGGGTGAAAAAAGCAGTATACAAATGAAGTAAATAATAAATCAATGAATAAGTTACTTTTGGGTAGATTAGTAGGTTGGAAGCTGTAGTCTAAAAGGGTAACTTTTCCAGCATTCGCCACTGAACACCCTCCAGTTGTACATCTAGCATATCAGATCATTGGTTGATTCTCCAGAGCACATGACTAATTTGGGACAAATAGAGAAAGGAAATAGAATGCTGGGTTCCTTTGAAATGTGAAATATTAATTTGTGAGGATATATTGGACTATTATTAAGGGATTTAAATTTTGTTTTGCTTCTTTACAGTATCCATAGTCATGGGGATCCCTAGTGTCAAGCGGGAAGTGCATTCCTACCTGACAGATACTCTCAACTCTTTGATCTCGGAGCTCAACCAACAGGAGAAGGAAGACTGTGTCATAGTTGTCCTGATTGCTGAGGTAATGAGATTCTTTCATTTCATCTCTGACTTCAGCTTTGACAGCATCTCTATATCCCTTTACTATCTGTCTGATAAGGGCTTGATTCTGGTCCAGGAGGCCACATGTGGTCATGAAACTGCATCTCCGTGTGGCTGCAGGGCAACTCCTTTTTTGGCACCAGGTGACAAGACTATGATTCTAAGTCTAACCTCAGGGTGCTATCAGGCAAGGATCATTGGGCACATCCTACCAATGGGATCTAGCAGACTGTTTCCATTGTGAAACAATGCTTGGATGCACTCAGCTGTAGAGGGTCAATATGTTAGCAGAAGGCTACACGGCTATTGCCAAGCTGGCACTTGTGTGGGTCCCTTTAACTTAAATTTCACTTGACTTGTTGACCTCTGTCCTTCCATATTGTTAGGCAGCTGTTCATTGAACTTTTCTGGTAGGACACAGTCTTTAAAATTTCCTCTCAGGATTACTTGCATTTGCTGCCATCTCCTGCAAGTTATCCCAAGAGAAGGCTTGAGGGAGCCCTGTCTGTTTCGTTAGACTAATTCCTTACGTCCGAATCAGTTTCTGAACCGTGCAGCTAGAACAACTGCAGAACATTAATACACTGTAGCCACTTTGGTGTGTGTATGTATGTTTTCTTGTAGTACTCCCACTGGGATTATTTATCTCAGGCCTGAAATAAATTTGTTTCTCTGTAAAAACAAATTAATACCTTTGAGGAAAAAAATGCCTCCAGTAACATATTGTTGCAAAAAGACCAACAACCCTTTTTGTCTTCTGATTCCTCTGTTCAGCATTTTTCTCAGTAAGAGAGGTCAGGAGGCTCCATCCTTGAGTGTCTGGTGGCCAACTGAGCCTATATTATTTCACTGTGCTTTCAGCCCTTAAAACCAACAGTGGGTGCTCTAGCTGTTTTGTCTGTGGTTAAAAAACTATTTTAACAAGGTGTTTTAGGCTTTACATAATGTGTTTATTCATATATTTAATGCTTTGAATGCTTTTATCTCTTGTACATCCCCCCCCCCCCCCAAGGAGCCTTGCCGTGTTGATAGGCTGGAGCAGATAAAAGCTTCAAATAAAACTAAATAAAGCAAATAAGAGGGTTTGGTATTTTCTCTTGTCTCCCTTGAGTTGATCAGGAAATAATCTTAGGAGCAAATGGCTTTTGTGAATAACCTGATTCTCAGAACTAGAAGGGCTCCAGGCACCTTTGTATTGGGCTGGGCACCACTACATGGCATGCGAAGGCAAACACTGAGGTCCCTGCAGAGCATTGCACATGGCTTAGTCACCCAAGATGGCTTGGATGGATGACCCTTAGCTTACTGCTGGGTGTGTGCTCTTGGGGACATGGAAACAAATTGTTCATTGGAAAAAGTGGCATGTCAAACATTTGGAAGGCATGTGATTGGCAGGCTTTGACTGTAGACATGACATTTTAATGTTTCCTCCTTTAGTTTTTAGCCAAATTCTCTGAATCTTGTGAGAGAGTCAACTTGAAATAATCAGGATACAAATTTATAGGAACAATATCAGCAGCTAAGTTTCACTTGACAATTTTTGCGTGCCCTTTTTTCTTTAAAAAAAATCCTATTTTTTAAATCCTTATCCTTCATTGCATTGTTTTTGGTGCAAAATTAAGTAACCCATTTGATCATTAGGATTATAATATTTTATTCTATATTTCAGTCATTTGCCCAGTGTTGGTCATCCGGGGCCCTGGAATGTGCTGGATAAAGGGTGGTATACAAATGATTGACATAAATAAAACAAGATCAAATGAAAAGCAGGGCAACTAAAACATTTTGAAGAAATAATATACAATGTGTATTGGTATGAAAATAATATTGATTTTAGGAATTTCAGAAATATTGAAAACCTGGGCATAGTGGCTACCTGCAACCCCAATATCTATAATTAATTATGAATTTTAAGGGCAGAGTTGGGGGAGATTATGTGATTTCAGCAGTGGTGCAAAAATAATGCTGCAACTCTTTGTGAGGATCCCATCACGCATGTGATTGATGTGGGGATTAACTCTTAACCACAGTGGTATTTTTCACAGAGCAAGTGCTTCTACATACAGTAGAGTCTTGCTTATCTGACCTTCGCTTATCTGACATTCCATCTTATCTGACATAATTATCCAATGCCCCCCTTTTCCTCCAGCATTTCCTTTTCAATTAAAGGAGCACTCCCCAATTTTCTCTCTATTTCCAATAAATGAAAAAGGCAAGACAAGGAAGAGGAGGGAGAAGGGAGGAAGGGGGGGGGGGGTAGAGACAGGACCGGAATTGGAAGCATCCTCCCTCCTTCCCTCTGTGATTTCCACGCTCCTCTTCCACATCTGGGTGTGTCCTGCTGGGCCGCTCTAGCTCCGAGGTGTTTCCTTGCCTTAATCCTTTGAGTCCCTGTTCTTAGTATTCTAGATGTCTAGCACCGCGTTGGATGGGTAATAGTATATTATCTGACATTTTTGTTTATCCGACACTCTGACGTGCTATTTATGTCAGATAAGTGAGACTCTACTGTATTACAGTGAAACGGGGAGAATCGTTGTTGGGTCCCAATAGGTCAGTCTGCCATAACAGATACCTTTCATTGACCAGTAAAAGGGAAATTTAGGACATTAAAGAGAAGAGTGATAGAGGTACTAAAACCCAACAATCCTACAGTAGTAAAAGAATAACTGTAGCCAACACGAGCATTTTATGATCATGTGAAAGTTGTTATTTTATTTCATTGATTGCTCCTGTTTCAATAGTGCATATGTACAAAATCTTGAGCAGCTGCTGAAATGGTATATCAGACTGGTGATACCATGTTTCCCAATTGCTTACACATTTTTGGAGCAATGGGGGTTAAATAAAGGGGAGAGCAAAGTGCAATGCAGTTTGAAGAACTGTTCGTATATCAGAAATGGAGATATAATATAAAGAAAATTTCTGATGGAAAATGGCTTAAATGTTAAAGCAAGAACATTTTTGTAATGCTTTCTCTGATGGTTAATTTAAGACCATTGTGACCTCTCTACAGGTGACCAAGTAAGTAGGTTAATAGGCACACAAGTGGCACTTAACTAGTTCAGATTGTGAGAATACAGCTGAGATTGTTGAGTTGCTTCTGTAGGATAATCTTATGAAAAAAATGTACGATTTAAATATATCTAGGAGTCTCTGAGAAGAGGTAAGAAGGATCAATGCTGTTGGCATAGGAGATACAGTGTTTTAGAAGCAGAGTAAAAATACATTATAAAACCATGCCTGCTCATTGTCTTATGCTTGTTTCATTTTCCTTTGCAGACCGACCCTCAGTATACAACAGTAGTAGCGGAAAATATCAAAAGCCTGTAAGCAATGTTCTTCCATCCTACTTTAATTTCTTATTTCTTTTATAAAGGGACAGATTTTGTTTTTCTTTAGTAATAATAATGAAAACTGATTTAATGTTGCATGCATTGTCTGAATAAGACCAGTTTTTAACTCAGGCACATGACTTGAGTTTGCATGTGGTTAAACTTGGTTTCTTTCCTGTCTGTGGGTCTGTACCAGACACTGCAATCATCATGGCATCTCTGTATTCCCTTCCCATTTCTCAGTCTCCTGATAAGAACAGTGGTTCCCAACCTTTTTTTGACCAGGGACCACTTTAACCAGGGACCACTCTCCAACTTTAGTACCAACTTTAGTACCAACTTTAGTACCAACTTTAGAAATCGGTTTCTGGTCAACTTTAGACTGAGTTTGGTTATTTGGGGTGCTGATTCAGAAAATTGCATTGGATAGACCATATCAGCTCTATTTCTGATGCAGAACGTATGCCATCCAGTAGTTGCCACCTGCTTGCCTACAGAAAACCATATTGAATCATTTAGAGCTGATGTGGTAGTACTAATTTTTCGTGCGTAGGCAGCCTCTTCCCCTCCCAACATCCCTGTTGCCTCGGCATTATAAGAGAGTTTCGCTAGACCAGTTGCACTCATTGCCATGTGGTTTTGAAACAACAGTGTAGTAATGGTGAGGCTGCAAACCATATTTTAGTTCTTGTGGACCACAGCTTGTACTGCGTGGTCTATGCTTTAATTTTATGCTATTCCTGGTTATATGGCAGGTATGACTGACTTAGATTTATGAGATTTCCAGTGCTTGTTATCTGCATCCTACTTTTTTGTACATCACATGAGGTGTGGAGGGGGTTGTAATCTTGCATTGCAGGCCTGACCTCAAACTAAAGTGAGCCTTAATGGAGTCTTTGGGGTTTACTTCCATTCTGGCTGACATCAATAACCACCCCTCCATGTCTTTTACTACATGAGGTCATATTCTCTCTCCCCTGTAGTCCTGCCAGCGCTGCATCTCTGATTTCTCCAGAGCTCCATGTTGACTTAACAGTTAATTTCTGTCCTGGAGCTCTGAGCGTGTGCCTGTGTTGCAGTGTTAGGGTTTTCTCATTAGTCCGTTGCTGTTTGTGTGTGTGTGTATGTTTAAAGGATTTGGATAGGAGTCCGGTGGTTCATTTTTAATTATTAGTGGGCTTGTAGGAGTCAGTGGGTAGGAATTAGGAACATCAGGACTCAGTGGACAGAAGATTTAGATGGTAATGGTAATGGGAGAGTCCCTGACTTCATTAGTGCTCTTGCATTCTGCCTGTTGCCTATTAATAGCAGTAGCAGCAGCAGTCTTGGAGGGATGGTGGCACGGAGTGGAGGAAGAAAAGACTGGAGCTACTTGCTGGCTAAAGCTCTGTTACTTGTGTTGGACAATTGATGAGAGCTTAAGGGTCCAGATCGAAGCCAAAAAGACCCTCTTGGGTTTTGCCCTGTGCCTCATTACTGCCTTTTGCAGCAAGTACACAGTTATCAATAGATAATAGGACTGACTGGTGAACATGGCCAAGGAAAGTAGCCCTCCGCCAAATGCCGCAAACTTTCCTTTTAATCATCTTAGTGATTTGCTTTCCCCCTCCCCAGTAAAACTGCTTGTTTAAATTGAATCTCCCTTTAAATTGAATGAGCAGAAGCATGTAGGGAGGAAACAACGCAAGGGAGTCAAAATACGTTCTTTAGCTTAGATGGCTTAGAAGAAAAAGCAATTGCTCCTGTATCAAGAAAACAGCAATGGTAATAAGACGTCAGAATTTAAATACTGGAGAAAGAAGATTAGTTTGGAGGAGCACAAGGTTGTCAACAGGAAACAGGGTTTTTTTTTTAATGAGACTGAACACAGACAAAGAGGTCACTTTTTGTTTCTTGGTCACGTTGCCTGTTTCGGTTGTCTTCGGACAGCATCCATCCGCCTCATCAGAGTCTGTTTGCTCAGGAGGAAAGAATATTCTGCAGGGCAAATGGTGAATCTGTCTGTCTGTATGAAGAAACTGTCAAAATGTGTACTGTTAAAAGACACTGGGGCGAAAGACCCCTGATCTCTTGGGAGATTGAATATTCATTCATATGTTATGTAATGCTACGAAGACATTTAAATGAAGTGAATTGCTTGATAAAGGCCCTTTCATTTGTCCTTCATTGCATCTTGGATTAAAGTGCCACAGCAGGAAAAAAATAGTAAAAACCTTGATGCTTCTAAGGAACAGTAAAATGAAATACAGCAATATAATCTCTGCAGGAGACTGTGAAATTAATTAAACTTTGCACCTGCACATACTGAGCAATCAGTTTTCCACATCTGAACTTGTCTGTTTAGTCATCTGTTCAACAGGTTTTCTTGGCAAATTTAAATGCAAGCAACTCTTTTTAATGATGTTGCAGAAAGGGGACAATTGTACATGATTAAAGTATTTATCCCCACTGTCAATCCCTTCCAAATCCCAGGACAGGAGTGGAAATCATATAGTCTTCCAGATGTTATTGGACTGCACAATTCAGAAGTCTTGGCTAACATAAAAAATGGTGAGGAATGTTGGGAGTTGCTGTCCAACAGCTTCTGGGGAGCCGCTCCGATGATTCATATGGACATTATGGAATAGAGTCTGCCTTTTGAAAGCCTACCAAAAAGAAAAAGACGCATACATAATGTTTTTTTGTAATTTTGGAAGTTAAAAATAAGGAAACTCTTCCAAGAAGAACCATGGGTACTCCTTGAAAACATCAAAACATCTTGTGCACACCTTGATTTGTCAGACCATCCTCTTTTTACAAATGATCGATTTAACTACTTTGTTTTTGTGTGAGTTTGGTTGCTAATGAAGCTTTTGGATTCATAAAATTAGAAATAAAATGGATCCGAAGAATATCCACCCCAAATATCATTCTGTGGGCATAATTATTCTTTCTTGCCCCCCCCCCCAAGCCTTGACCCAACCCCAACACATTCACGCACAGTGTGTACATAGTCTTAAAAGGTTGACGATCTCTCATCTTCATGTAATAGACAGGGAGCCAGTCTGCCATAACTCGGTTTTTGCAATGTGAGATGGCCTTCGTTTGTTTCTGTCATTTCTACATAGCACAAAGAAATGAATTCCAGCATGCACTACAAAAAAAAGGTGAAAATACATGAGTATATGTAACTGAAAGCTAGGCAACCTGTTGTCCACTTAAGTTGTTTGGACTATAACTCCCATGGTCCCATGATGGCACTCCAAAGCATCTGAGAACCCTAAGACACCTACCCAAATATCTCTAATGTGCTTCTGTGTATGTTTGCAAGGTGGGGTTGTCTGATCTGACTTTGAGAATATATATGTCCTCTCATATATATATATATATGATTCTGTGAAACTTCTGCTTATTTCTGCATCTTCTCAAAGATAAAAGGAAATAAGCTTGGATTCAGAAGTCTGGCATGCAGTTTCAAATATAATAATAATAATAATAATAATAATAATAATAATAATAATAATTTTTATTTATTTATTTATTTATACCCTGCTCCATCTCCCCCAGGGGGACTCATGGTGGCTTACATGAGGCCACGCCCATCAGTACAATAAACACAATATTACACAAAAGCATAACAAAACCAGAAAATAAAATACATAAAATGCAAAACCAATATAATAGATGACACAGCAATATAGAATCAAACATTAAAATACAAAGGAATTACACTGGGCAGGGTCAAATTCAAAGATAAAAATTTTAAAACACTGGGAGATAGGGCAATGTAAATTGTCAGGGAGGGGGATCCGGGAATGAGGAAGGATTTAATTGCAATTCTTGAGCAATTTTCAAATATAAGAAGGCATTCTGAATGTGTCTGAAAAACCTCCCATTTCCAGGTGCTGTGATAACTTTAGGAAGTGTAAGAGGAACAGAGTATTTACAGTTACCAAAGAATAACCCCTGCAGATGTTCTGTTTTTTTAAAAAGGACATAAAAGTCCAGTGGTTTCTGTGGCTTTTAACGTTGCCTTTCTCTTTGGTGTGCCATTATCTTTATGTTATCAATCACCTAATGCATTAGATTACCTTCTTCTCTGCACAGAAAGTAACAACATTTTCCTCACCGTTTTCTCATTCTCAGGTTCCCCAATGAAATTCATTCTGGTCTTCTAGAAGTTATTTCCCCTTCCCCACATTTCTACCCAGACTTCTCCCGCCTCCGAGAATCATTTGGTGACCCCAAGGAACGAGTCAGGTAACACCTGGTAGCTTGATTTGAACTGCTGTTGTGTTTCTCCTTATCACCCTGATTGTCATTATAAAGGACCTTCAAATGTGGTGGAGCATAAGTCTCCTCCAGGACATGTATGAAAGGCAGTGCATGTTGTTCCAGTTGCTTTTCCCATTCTGAAACAACAGCAGGAGGGAGGTGACAGCAGGACGCAGCTCTGTTTCTCCAGACATGAATTGGTTGCAGGGAGGCTGATTTTTGACTACCCTTGAACATAGAGGGAAGATGGAGGGCTCCTTCATCTTCTCCTTCAGAGCATCCAGAATGAAACCAGACTCATCTCACAGCTGATCAATGGCCATTCAATGTGTGCTGTGTGGTGAATCTTGTAGAAGGCAATGTTGGATACTACTTTCCACAAGGTCCAAAAAGTACAGTAATAAACATGTGGGAAGGTCCCAGATATGCATGGATGTTTCAACAATAGGATGCTTGCCATTATTGGCTGAAAGTTGGTTGAATTGTTTGTATTTTCTGTTCTTGGAAAAAATACCTGTGCCCAAGGAATCTATTCGTATTATGCAGAATTCCTGTTTCTGATCTGATTCCATTAACACAGTTGACATTTACATGGTAGTTGTTCTTTAAAAGTAAGTAGGAGCAGTGGGAGGAAACTGAGGATGTTTTAATACAATGGACTTTCGGTATCTGCTATGGTTTGGTTCCAGAATTCTCTCTGTATACCAAAATATGTGAATTTTCAAGTCCCATTATATGCAATAATATAGTGCAAGAGTGTCCTTTATGTAAAATGGTGAAGTCAATGTTTGCTATTTGGATTTTTTTTTAAAAAAAATGTTCAAGCTGTGCACTGTTGAATCTATTATGTATGCAAAATATAGAGATATGGAGAGCCAACTCTACATTATGAGTAGAGTTGTGTTAATCAAATGGTATATTCCTCCCCACCTCAATAGCTTCTATTTGGATGTGGAGGATAGGGATGGAAGCCATGGAAGTGGTCTTCTCAGTACAGATTGCATCCTTAATGGGAGAACGAGCCAAACTGAGCATTAAATTTAGTCTCTCCTTTCCTGCCGGTTATGATCCCAATTTCGATTGGGGTGCCTTGTGGCTATTTTACTTTTCATTCAATTGCTAGTTGTTGTAATACCATTGCATATTGTTTGGTGTCAAAATTAACAGGATTACAAGTTAGCATGACAGTTGTGCCTACAAAACAAATCCAGATTTCTTGACCTTGAAAGTTTTCTGGCATCCAGATATTCTGCTGGATTGATATTCAAAAGAATTTGATATTAAAAAACTGGATACAAAAGAAAGCTGTTCTTGTCTGCCAGCAATGTAACATCTTTCTCTTTGCCGCTGCAGGTGGAGGACGAAACAGAACTTAGATTACTGCTTTTTAATGATGTATGCACAGTCCAAAGGCATTTATTATGTACAGGTAAGGTTGACATTGGTCCTCCCCTCCCAGTGGAGGATAGGTTTCATGACTGGAACAAGGTTATGGGAAAACACTGAAAAGAAAGCCATTAAATTGGATTTCTTCCAGTCCTAGCATACCACAGAGGGCATAGAAATTACTAGAGAGGTATCCTCTGTTGGAGTTTGCTCTGTGCTCTAAGGCAACTTTTTGGTAACTTCTGGGGAAAGTATTCCATACAATTGCCTGGACCTAGAACATTTCTAGAGACCTTTTTTCATACAGGTAAGTGAAAACACAGATATGAGTTCTGTGATTACTGAGAACTTCCTGTATTACTTCCATTATTGTACACCAGGAGTATTGTACCTGGATCCTAGAATAAAGCACAAAGGAAATGATTGTTTTAGGAGACTGTTAGGAGTTAGCTGGAGTAACAGGATGAGATGTTTTGTCTAGAAATCATCACTTTCTGTGGTTTTGACTTGGCAAGCCAACTCTGGATCCAATACATTGCTGACAGTCCAGTATTATGCCATAGGATTCATTTCTGGTGACTATTTAAAACAGAAGAAAAAAGTTCTCCTATTTGACTATACTTCATTGGTATGTTCTGCAGCTAAGCTATTTGGTCTCATTCATTACTTGCTTACTTGTCTTACTCATTATTTCATGTGCTGCTGGAATTAGCTTTTGTCTTCCTTCATAAGAGACAGACCCTAGGCCAGAAGTTTCTCCCTGTCTCTATATGCTGGATACATTCTAGGATAGAGGGCGCACATATTCTGTCCTGGGTACTGACATCTCCCTCTGTTACACAGCTGGAAGATGACATTGTAGCCAAGCCAAACTATCTCAGCACAATGAAGAACTTTGCTCTGCAGCAGCCATCTGAAGAGTGGATGATCTTGGAGTTCTCCCAGCTTGGGTTCATTGGTAAGGCTCTCTTACCCCTCTCACCCCACCTCCAGATGAGTTGATATTAGAGGTTATGCTGAAACACATCCCATGGGGCAAGAAAACTATGTTAGAGTCCTCAGAAAGAGGAAACACAAAATTGTCTCATTTGCACTCTAGTTCACTCCTAGGATGGTTTAGAGCATTGACACAACACATAGCAACACCAGCCTTCTCTAATTTCTGCTTGCTTTTTGTGTCACGCAAATGTTTTATTGATGCAGCTTGTCAAACAAGTAGAGCGTCCTGAAAAGCTCTTATTACAAACTGGAAGGTGCAGATGATTCTTGCCCATACTTGACTGTGGCAGTGGAGAGAGAGGGGTGGTGATCTACTATAAGCTTTCTGTGGTTACAGATGAATCAGAGGGCCAGTGAATATTTTTCTACAACAAGTTAGGTAGCATCTGGGAGCACTCAAGGCCAGGGAAACAAAAAATACTCTACATCCTTATGGGATAAAAGAGTCTTACAGCATCTTTGAGACTAAGTGAAAGAAAAAAGTTTGTAACATAAGCTAAATGGGAGTTTCACAAGCAGAATTGCCTCCTCCTGAAAAGGAGTGTTAGAGAAAGGTATTGAAAGAAGCCTAGCAGTATGTCTGCTTCCCAGGTTCCATTATTTTATATTTGGAGTTGGGAAGGCTCAAAGGCCATTTAACAAGGCAGGTGTATTTAACTATCACTACCTTACCAAAACTTAAACAGGGTTGAATTAAGAAGCCTCCCCCCTTCACACATTTTCATTTTGTTTTTGTATATTTGAAAAATGTATATATGTACCCACTGTCTAGTCAATGGGAAGATGCACACAATGGGAAAATGTATGAAGAAATCTATATAAATAAAAATGTAATGTTCATTTGTGGGATTAACATAATTCAAAAACCACCGGATGAATTGACACAAAATTTGGACACTACACCTCTAGCAGACCAACGAGTGACCATTACACATAACCCCTCCCAAAAAAACAGCAGAAAGGACTTAAAAACCCAAAAAAGCTAAACGACTATACAGCGCATGTGCAAAAATGACAGCTCCCAGCATTCCCTAGATCAGGCCCTTTAGGGGAGGAGGGTGCTCCAAATGCACTGCTTCCAAGCTCAAGTTTGCTTCTCCTTGGATTTCTTTGAGAGCATCCCAATCTGTACATATTTCCTATTTTCCTGGACTGCAACTCCCAGCAATTCTTCAGATAGATAAGATATGTAGATTAGATAGATAGAGATAGATAGTAGGTAGACAGATCAATTGGGAGGACTGATGGGAGTTGCAGTCCAAGAATAGGTAGGGAAGGAAGAAAAGAAAGAAAAAGGGAGGGGAAGAAAGGAAAGAGGGAGGGAAGGAAGGAAAGAGAGAAAGAAGATAAGAAAGAGGGAGAGAAGGTTGGCCACAGAAACCCATGGTGGGTACAGCTAGTATGTATACTAAACATGAACATGAAATTCCATTTGAAATGGAAAGAATGCAGCATGGACTGAACTTGGATGAGACAATAATGACTTTGGGGTTCCAGGAAATGCATCAATGACTGTTGGGCCAAAGCAGTTCCATGGGTGCACTTACGTTTCCTCTTTTTCTTTCACATATGCTTTCAGGGAAAATGTTCAAATCACTGGATCTGAGTTTGATTGTGGAATTCATTCTCATGTTCTATAAGGACAAGCCCATTGATTGGCTCCTCGACCATATTCTCTGGGTGAAAGTCTGCAACCCAGAGAAAGATGCAGTAAGTAGGCCCTATGTTGGAAAAAATATTCTTCTTATAAAAACACTCTCTTATATAGATGTAGTATGTGCCAAGTTACAGAAATTATGGAAGATTCTCCAGGGGACTATTTTTAATATGTCTGTCCAGGAGCCTGCATCAGAGGCATACGTATGATACCATAATTATGCTCCACCTGAGTTGACCCCTGAAATCCACTTTAAATGCCAGCTGGGTGCACCTAGTGACAGAGTTCTTTGGTGCTTGTGAGAAGGGCACTGCAGAATGGTGCAACCAGACCTATCTTGCCTTCAGAAGTTGTAATTTACTGCCTATGACTTTAAGGATCTGGGAAGGGGGCGGAGCTCAGCCTCAGCTCCTGCTAGCTTTGGAATAATAACAACAACAACAACAACAACAACAACAACAACAACACTTTATTTATATTACGCCCTTCTCACCCCGAAGGGGACTCAGGGCGGATCACAGTACATATACACGGCAAACGTTCAATACCACTTTGTATAGACAATACACAGACAGACTGAACAGAAGGAGGTGGTTTGTTTCAGCTGTTTTTGGTGCCATGGAAGGTTGGGCTTGAGTCCAGGGGGTGCTGTTGCTCTATCCTCTATGACGAAGAACCGTCAGGACTTCCTCCTTCCTTTTGGTCGCCCAGCATTTTCTGATCTTCTTTCTTTATGGCATCGTAAAACGCCTCCTCCCCTTTTAGCAGTACCTAATTTCTCTAATCACAACTAAAGCTGTTTTCAAATTGTTTAGGTAAACAATGAATTAAGGCTGACAGTTGGCAGCTCATGCCAACCCGGGGCTTCAAACTTGCAACCTTTTGGTTGATAGATCTTATAATTGCTGGTGATTTACCAGCAATTATAACTAAACTTCCAGACCTCATGGCAGTTATTTTTGTCAGTTTTTAGCATTGGAAGAGAGCACAGGAAGGTATAAGGTGCATAGAAATTCACGTCACATCAGAGTTGTATATAGTATAGTAAAACAGCACATCATGTTGGAGTTTTATATAGTATAGTAAAACAACCCGTCATGTTGGAACTGTATTAATTAAAGTCATGTTAGAGTTATATACAGCATAGTAAAATAACAGTACTCATATCGGGACTTTATAATAGCCAGTAGATACAAGAAGATCAAAGAACAGAACTGCATAAGCTTAAAAGGTTTCTTTTCTCTACAGAGACTCTATAGTGGCAACCAGGGGAAAGGAAGTTCAATTTGTCTGTCAATAAACATTGTTTTAATTGGGTTGTTGTAGGTTTTTCGGGCTATATGGCCATGTTCTAGTAGCATTCTCTCCTGACGTTTCGCCTGGATCTGTGGCAAGCATCCTCAGAGGTTTGCTTGCCACAGATGCAGGTGAAACATCAGGAGAGAATGCTTCTAGAACATGGCCATATAGCCCGAAAAACCTACAACAACCCAGTGATTCCAGTCATGAAATCCTTTGACAATACATTGTTTTAATTCATGAAATACAGCTTCCGATCTGTCCTTTGTCTCACAGCATACTCCAATTCAACTTTGACAAGCACGGAGGCAAAACAAGCCCCCTGCGATCAAAGAGTTGTGTCAGGATCCCACAGATGATCCTGCTGCCAGTTGCTTCTAATGTGGCCATTGAGTCATAACGACAACATTTTAATCAAACCTGAAAAAAATCAAGCCTACAAATGTGGAGGACTGACTATACTATCATAACAAAAGTATAGTGATTGAAATTTGAATAGGAAAGAGTTACACAGTTGTAAGTCGAACATCCGACAACATGACTGACAAACAAGATGCCAGCCTGTCATTCTTTGGTGACTAGAAGCTATTTAGTAGTCATGGGGCACCTTCCATGGGGTGCTGAGAGGTCATTCCCAAAGCCAGAAAACCCCTGGCATTGGCAAGTGCTGATTTGCATTACTTTGCGGGTAAAGTTTTCAAAGAAAGCACATCAAATGAGTTACATAAAGGCTTTTCCGGCATCTAGACAGATGGCAGCATTCCAGTTGAATCCTTTGTCTTGTAATAGTTGTACTTTCCATGAATTTTCTAATAAGAATATTTACTAGCCAGTTGATAAGTTTGATGCTGATCTGTTTATGTGGTAACAACCGCCCCCCCCCCCAGTAGCAATGCATTGTGGTTACTAGCAAAACAAAAAATGCCATCCTGATTCTTCACTTAGAAGATTTGCTCAGTTAGAGGCTGCTGGTAAAAATGATGCTCTGGACACATGAACACAGCTGAGATGGTCACCATTGGAAAACAGAGCTTTCTCCCTACTTCCAGGGGCTTCTGCAAGTAGACCAAACCTTAAATGCTTCTATATTGGTAGAGTAGAATATGAGTGGGCCTTTGTACAGTATGAACTATGTTGCTGGCCGTAGAAGCCAGCATGGGCTATAAAATGAAGTAATTGCATGTGGGCAAAGGGTTATCTCCCTGTCCTACATGCTGGCTTTCAGGTCTTCAGGAGCTGTGGGTCACGTGTGCCTGGGGTGCATGGCGGATGGCGTGCCCCATGGAACAAGAGACACATGTTCTAGATAGATTTCCCTTGCGTATTGCCCTGTGCGCACAATGTGGTTTTGATGGGATTTTTCCTCTTTTCTCAAGCCTTAAACTAGTACAGTATTTCAATGTCACTGTGCATTCAGGTTCACTTCTCTTTTCCTGCCCTATTTGCTCTGCCACTGACGTTTTCCAGGGCTCCCAAGAGCATTAACATTGTTGTCTGTTTAAAAATGTAACCTACTTCCAGCATGGGCTTCTGGCTCTCTCTCTCTCATCCTATTGTCTGCATGATTAACTCAGCACAACAGCCTTTTCAACTTAATTTTTCTCTTGTAAATCCTTCTGTGCAAAATTAAATTGGTTAACATGTAGGATTTGTCTTCTTGATTGAAAGTTTGCTTTACCTGAGGTTTCACAGTAAATGCTTTGCCTGCCCTGGATATTTCTTGCCCCCTTTGTCTGAAAGCATGTTCTTAGAGTTCACCTGCTGTAGTTGCTTTTATCCCAATGTTGTTGTATCTGTTACAAGAACAGCAAAGAGCAAAAAAGGCATGGAGCAGAGAGAAAGGTCACAGAACCACTCTTGGTTGCCATGCTTCACTTAGCTGCTTGTAGGCAAAAAATCTTTGCTGACCACATTTAGGAAACGTCCTATGAAGGAAATTATGGTTTTTAATTTTTTTTCAAGGGTTAGAAGATTATATTGGAACCCGATTGCAGGGAATAGGCCTACATTTCCCACAGTGTCAAAAGTTGCAGAGGTTGTAAACGCATTTTCATTGCACCCTGTGACTTGGAGACAGGACTGTTCCCTGATTGTAAAAGCAGTGACAGTTTGTGTGTCAGTGGAGTGGTGAAAATAGTTTTTACTCTCAGATTTAACTAAACTGCCAAATGTACCAAATTTATTTGAGAATAGGGTTCAGCACCTTGGATAGTTCATATAAAGAACAAACTACTGTAACATCCATTGCCAATGTATAGGTCTAGTGACATGGAAACTATCATCAGCCACAATAATATACATTTGGTATACCTCTTCGTTGCGATTGGGACTATTGAAGACTTACAGAGGTCAAACTGTCTATCTTAAGTTTAATAGGCCTAGCCCTAGGCAAAATCTGAGTTACATTCAGGACAAAATTCTTTTCTGCATGTGTTTATATTGGGCTTTTTATTAGAAAGGAAGTTACTTTGATACTAGAAATGTATGTCCAAATCATTGCTTGTTGGGCCCAGTTTCTACCTTCCCTCAGTTGTTGCTGTGTACCACAACATCCCTGAAAAGTGTTTTGCAAGTGTAGTGGACCAGTGGGCATAATACTACAATACTATTCTGGCAGTTCTTTATTCAAGCTTCTACTAGACTTGGACTATTGCTAAGTTAGTATGATAAACCAAACTGAATAGTAAAACCAACCCATCTGAATAAATCCAACTGAAAGTTGTTGTGCAACTTTTTCCTTCCTCACCTGGAAACAGAAATCCTGATCTTCTCCTCTGTGTCTTTTTTTAATTGTTTCAGAAACATTGTGACAGACAGAAGGCAAACCTGAGGATCCGCTTCAAGCCGTCACTCTTCCAGCATGTAGGAACACACTCCTCCCTCGCTGGCAAAATCCAGAAGCTAAAAGTGAGTAGGCCATGTCTCAAAGTGCTGGAAATGCAGGTATTCAAAACCAAAAGAAAACCACAAAGAATAAGTGACAGGAAATTACAGTGAACTGCAATTTTTTCTTCGTGTCCTCCGTGAAATGCACACTTATGGGTTATCCTTTTGCGCATGCGCAGCAATCCGGAACTTTCTAGAAATTTTAAATGATTTTTAAATGATTATTTAAGTACAATATA